CAAAGACCTGAGGAGGGAGCAAGCCACGCAGACATCTGGGAGAAGAGCTAGGCAGAGAGAACAGCGACTGCAGAAGTCTTGAGAAAAGGTTGATTGCCTCGTTCGAGAATTAATGAGGCCAGAACCATAGGAGCAGAATGAGTAGGTGGGAAGAGTAATAGATGTCAGAAAGGTAATAGGGAGCCAAACTGTGAAAGGACTTGGCCATTTTGAAGATTTTGAATTTGGCTCTGAGTGAGATGAAAGGCATGGAAAGGTTATACGCAGAGGAATGCTGTGATCTGACTTAGGTTTTAAAAAGATCTCTCTATCTATTGTGTTGAGTATTGTCTAAAGGGGCATGGCCTTAAATAAGGAGGCAGGCTCTTACAATAAGCCAGATTAGAGTTGACGGTGGTTTGGACCAGGGTGTATGGGTGGAGGTGGCAAGAAGTGGAGGGATTCTGTATATATTCCCGAGAACAGACCAATAGGATTTGCTAATGAATTGGATATAGGGTTTGACAGAAGTACGCTTACCAAGGATTGGCTCAAGCAACCAGAAAGATGAAGTAATCATTAACCAAGATTGGAAAGGAACAGGCATATGGAAGAATGTTCAGGAGTTCAGCTTTGCACCTATAAGGTTGAGATAGTACTTTGACATCCAAATCAAATAAGGAGTCTTATATATATATAAAGTATGAATCTAGAATATATATATATATTCAAACATATATATATGAGTCTGGAATTTAAAAATGTAGTGCTTACTGGAGATACAAATTTGAGAGTTGTCCTCATATAGATAGTATTTAAACCTGCGGAATTGGACAAGATCACCAAGGGAATGAATTTAGATAAAGAAGAGAAGAGGTGCAAGGACTGAGTCTTTGGGTACTTCAATATTTAGATGTCAGGGAGATAAGGAGGATGCATCAAATGGACTAAGAAGGAGCAGCTAATGAGATAGGAAGACCAGGAGAGTGTGATATCTTGGAAGACAAGTGAATAAAGTGTTTCAGGAAGGAGATAAGTGATCAACTGAATCAAATGCTGCTCGTGGCATGGGTCAAGTAAGATGAAGCCTAACAACTGACTTTTGAATTTAACCACGAGGAGATCAGTGGACATGTGACCTTTACAAGCTCTGTTTCAGTGGAGTGTTGGGAGTGACTGAAGTGGATTCAAGAAAGAATTGAGTAGAAGAAATGTAGAGAGTGAATATACACAATCTTTCAAAGAATTTTGCTTTAAAGAGGATCAGAGAAATAGAGCAGTAGCTGGAGAGGGTAGGTGAGTCAAGAGAGACTTTTTGTTGTCTTTTGTTTTTAAAGTAGGAGAGATTATGGCATGTTTATGTGTTAATGGGAATGATGGAGGAAAGAAGGAAAATTGATAATGCAGATGGGAACCACAGTTGCTGGAGCGAGATCCTTAGTAAGTGAAAGCAGATAGAGTCAGTGCACAAGCAGACGCTGGCCTTACGTTGGATTGTGAATCGATTCAAAACCCAGGAAGGCAGGCAGAGAATTTGGAGCACGGTTAGAGGTAGATGGATAAATGTGATGGTGGGAGCCTGTGAAAAGTTTCTTCTAATTTCTCTATGAAATGGAAAGCTGGGTCATCAACTGAGAGTGAGGATCAGGGAGGAGAAGTCAGACATTTGAGGACAGTTGGGAAGCCATGAAATAATTATCTAGGAGAGTAGAAGGAGTGGGTTAGGAAAAAGTGCAATATGATGGCTGAACAGCACTAGAGGCCACTTTGAAGTTCATGCTCGTAAATTTAGAGACTAGTAAGAGTGATATAGTGTGTTTTCACCAGCCAAGTTCAGCTGTGTGGAAGTAGTCACAGAGGAGGCAGAGAGTTTGAGTTTTGCCATGTAAGGGAGTGGAGAGTATCTGCGAGAGAGTGATTAACCACAGAATTTATTCTGGGTAAAGAGGTAAGCGAGGACACGGGGGGAGGGAGAGGGACAGCGAAAACTGATTGAAGGATCAAAGAATTAAAGATCCTCATGGGGTGGGAGAGTTGTTGACCTGGGGAATTAGAGGAAGAAAACTAGAAAGATAAAATGTGGTGGTCAGAGAGTGGGGTGTGTAAAATTGAGATTAGGGAGGGAATACAGTTGGAAATGACAAGGTCTGCTGTATGACAAGAGCGTGAGCAACTGATATAAAGGCAGGGCCAGGTCATCACAGGGGAGAGTAGGTCAAGAAAATGAGATAGCAGGTATTGGAATGGTCATCTATGTGGATAGTGGGTCATCAAGAATTATGGCAGGAGCAATGTTGGACAGAGAGCAACAGTGAGCCAGGAGCTAACAACTTCAAGGAATGAGGGGGAAGGACCAAGCAGGAAGTAGATGGGGGGACAGTGGGTGACGCAGTCTGGTCTCCCTCCACTATCTAGTAGTAGGCTTTTGAGTATCATATTTGTCTCACTTCAGGAAATAAGTTGTACAGATGTTTTGTTTGTTTCTTTGTTTTTAGTGTTCCATTACCAACTTAATGTCAAAACGCTGTTAAATGTGTGGGACCCAGTTTAGAAGAGATTGCTTCTGATTCAAATTGCTAAGTATTTTTCTGATAGTGTGAGCTTGCCTGTCTTGCCCCAATCTTGATATGTGATAAAGAATTTGTGACGTGAGGAAGGGTTCAACTCCTGGCTGTGGTACTTGTGTGGCCTTGAACAAACAACTTAAACTCCCTGAATCTTAACTGGTTACCTCATCTGTAGAAGAGGAGTCAGAATTTGTGCCTCTCAGGTTATTGTGAGGATTAAAGAAGATAATGTGAAAGCATCTAAGCATTGCCCCCAGCACATAATAGGGGCTCAACTCAAATTTGATAGATTTATACATGTGGATATTTTGATTAAAAAATACTGCAAAAATGACCACCTATTCTTTGTGAAAAGAAAATGTCCCTTGTGAAAATAAAGTGTACCATTCAATAATTTGTGTATGGTATGTAGAATTTATATTATAGATTAGCTCACCAAATTGGGAAATCTGTAAAATGGGTTAATATTGCAGTAAAATTTCACTCTACTCTCATTATGTGATTAAGGCAAAAATATTTTTATTGCAATTATCCAAATTCAGTAAAAAATTTAATGAGGCATTCACTACCTTGGGCAGGCTAGCATGAAATTTAATTTGTTTAATTTGCCCAAAACTTAGGAAGCAAGAAGTTTACTGTTTTTAGAATTTGATTCTATGAGATGGAAGCCAGTATTTTATAACATGTTTCTACACACAGACTTCGGTTCCTATATCATCTTCTTCCTTCAGGCAATAAAACAATCACTATGAGCATCATAGAAAATGGATCACTATCGAGTGCTTATTGTCAACTGGGCACTGACAGGATCTATAAAAATCAGGAACTCGTATGAGATACAGTGAGCGCAGTGTGTCTGTATTCTTCCTGTACAGGAAAGAGAGCTGGAATTCAAGTCAGGTGACGGTTCAGAGTCTGGCTCTGCTGGTTAGGGAATGCAGGGCTTTAAGCAAGCCTTATTTTCTCCATCTGAAAACTGGGAATAGTAATACCTCCTAGAGTTGCCGTGTTAGTTGAATGAGGTAATGCATCTGAAAATATTTTATACATTGTGTTAGTTAAAGGTTAAGGAATCATTGTTATGCTTCCTAGTGGTTGAAAGAGGTTGTTAAATACAGCATTATCGGATATCTCCCAGACTGATTCCAGGCCATTTCCATCATTGCTCCCTCTACCAGACAGGAAGGCGTGCAGGCCTTTCTGAGGAAATTATGCTCCTTCTGGACACGTCAAAGAATAGCTGGTAACTGAGCTACTTCTTCGTAGATTCAGGGTGTTTTCTTCTTAGAGTGAGGTGGATAGAAAGTTTCAATCAGCCAGAATTGTTCAAGTGACGACTGACCCACAGCCGTGGGTATTAAGGTGTGGAAGGCCCTTCCAAGACCTCCCTGACCCCAGCTTTTCTAAAAATGGAAACTGACTCTCAGAAAGCACAGTTACAATGACATTTTGAAATGAGTTTAAATTGCGATGACTGTCCCTAAAGACTGAGAAGCACTTGGTGAATATTGCATCCATGAGAATACTATCTCAGTCCATACCCTGAGCTAAGTCATAGGTCTTTCATCTTTCCCACCAGTTATAATGCCTCCGCGGAAGTTGAGAGACAGATAGCCATGTCTCCCTGCAGAGGGAGAGACTGACCTTCAGGTAGGGTCTGGTAAGTTTATTTGAACTAGAATAACATTGTCACGGAATGATCTGGTGTGACCAGGCCTTGGCACCTGCTGGCCTCTAGGCCAAGGCAATGTGTGCTATTCTGTAGAGCAGCAGAGCTCTCACTGCTTTCCATTCCTGACTCCTCCAGCCCCAGCTCCAGCCCTGGGCCTCAGGAGTAATGACAGCCAAGACGATCCTTCCACAAGCGGGAAAATAGAAGCTCCTTGAAGGAGTTTCCCTACAAATTCAGCCATGGAAATAAATCGACATTTGTGTGGATACCAAATATGTGCTTTGCTAATCTGGCTCTTTGGGACATACTAGGTGCTTTCTCATCTTTGTCTTTTCTCTGTGCAGTTCTCAAACCAAGGTGAAGACACAAGCCTGCATAACAGTGTCGTTATAATGTGGCTCGTGCCACCAGTCTATGTTTTTTTACTGTTCTTGGAGATCTTAAAAAATGATCTCACACATAACTTTGAGAAATTAACTATAACGTTTGTTCCAAATGCCAAGCATTATCCAAGCTTTGCCTATTTGCCAGGTTGTAAGAACCCTGCTTTTATGATGCAAAACCATCCACAACTTGCTCCATTCTATTGCTTAACTCCCAACTGTAGCATCAGGGAGATTTGCAGGACTCCTCCAGGGAACATTTGTCATGTTTTGTCATTTGCTTAGAATGTCAAACAGGGCCCCCTGTTGGAATGTGTGAGGGATGAATTGCAATGCCTCACAGAAGAACGTAGATATAGACATTTCCCCTGTTTTATTTTGCTTTTTGACTCTATACAGGCAACAGCCTCAGATTCCAATCACCACAGGAACAGGTGTTGTGTATCCTGGTGCTATTACTATGGCAACTACCACACCATCACCTCAGATGCCATCTGACTGCTCCAGCACCTCCGCCAGCCCAGAGCCCGGCCTCCCGGTCATCCAGAGCACTTATGGTATGAAGACAGACGGCGGAAGCCTAGCTGGAAATGAAATGATTAATGGAGAGGATGAAATGGAAATGTACGACGACTACGAAGACGACCCCAAATCAGACTATAGCAGTGAAAACGAAGCCCCAGAAGCTGTCAGTGCCAACTGAGGAGTGTTTGTTTGCTGAATTAAAATACTGACATTTCACCTCCCCTCCCCCAACAAAAAGTTCTTAAAGAGCCCGCATGCATTTGTGGCTCCACAATTACATCAGCAGAATGGTCTTAATTGTTTCGTAAAGTGTGAGACAGATTAAGTTTTCCCTGATTTTTCATGAACTTGAGTTTTTTGTCGTTATTGTTATTGTTGTTGTTGTTGTTGTTGTTTTAATTTAGGTGAAGACATATTAAATATGAGACACCAGGACTTGAAAACTTATCTCAACCCATAGCTGTCTTACAAGTCTTATATTTTTGTCTTACTTTTTTTTCTTTTGGATGTTGATAAAGGTTTAAGTTACTGTTTTAGATGGGGTTAAACATTCTCACTCAGGTATGCTGTGCCGGCCTACAGGTTGTGAATGTGTTTTTATTCTGAATTATTTTAGAAAACAACTGAGGATTTCATGTTGTGAAACAGAACAAGTCCATGGCGTGTGCAGCTGCATGTAGAGCGTATTCAAAAGGCCTCGGAATTCCATTGCTCCGTGTGTAGAGTTGAACTTTGAATGTGCCAAACTTTTTCATAACTTTTGAATCTTAATATTTTGAAAGTCTTAAAGGAGACACTGCAAAGTCTTAGACAATCTTTGGCATCTTAAAATAGCAAACCACACATTTTTTTTTCCAGAAAATGGTAAAGTACTCAGGAATCTGGAGACAAGATATTGTAAGGAATGAACAAGGTTGCCACAGTGCGTGTACCCAATTGTGTTTGCCTCTTGACGTGCCATCGTTGTGTGATGTGGTATGATGTACACACACAAGAGTGATCACCACACCAGATACCAACATGGTGGTCTTCTCTGCCTGAGACCACCTCTCACTACATCCATTATCCCTTTGCCTTTAACCCTGACATTCAGTCTTAACACATTTTCTCTTAAGTAATTTATTCATTCCAGAATGTCAAGGGTCCACTTACTATTTATTTAAAAAAATTGTTGGTGGCATTAATTTAATAATTCTTGTTTTTCACCCTCCTTCCCCAAAGAACTTTTCAGCCCTTTTCACCTCCTTCTCCTGCTAGATACGAAAGATTTACATAGTAATTTTATGTCCCCAGGACATCTGGAAGCATTTCTGATAGAAGATACTATTAAATACCTACATTGTTCTTTTTACACACGAGTGTGTATCTGGCTGCAGAGCTGTGTGTTGGATGCAGGTGTAGAGTCTTACACTTCAACAGGTATGCCCCTGAAGTTTGCTGTGACCTCAAATCTTTTGCCAGAATTTCCCCCTAATTTAGTTCAGCAACAGGTGGTAGGATCTGCATCAGTGGCATTTTCCCTGAATGCCATTCAGCGGCAAGGGTCAACAGTGGTGACTGCCAGGCAGGAGAGTCCTGCAGCCAAACCTAAAGCCCACGGCTGCGGGCCATGGAGGAGGCTATGGTGATGCTGTCATGGGCTGGCACCTTTACTCGGAGTTGCCTTGTCCCATCTGGCACCTCTAGGGAATTCTTTGCAAAATCCCCAGGATGCAAGAAGCCACATGACAGCCGCAAATCAAAGTTAGAGGCAAATAGTCATGATATATCCAGAGTATGAAAGAAAACCACAGGGAAGGAGAAGGAGGGGAAATACATTCCCTATGTGGGATGTTCCTACTGTTAACTCTGGGGATAGATCACTCCTGGGGCAGCAGACGAGTTCCTCTGGCTCACTCCCGCTATCTGTGGCTGCAGGGGTGGGGCATGCCTACGTGTGAACAAGATTAACTGCACTTGTCACACAAGGATTTCTCTGGAGATGTGCTGATGGGCTGGGAGGTAGTGAGGTTTCATTCCCCATCTCCTAACTACAGGGAGCTCGGCCATGCTATTTGGACCTTCCTGAAACCAGGACTGATTGCCTATGGGGGGGCCTCAACTAGAGTGGGTCAATGGGAGAATGTCAGCGAATGGGACAGTTCACCTCATGGGACAACCCAGAATCTGATCACCAGGACATAGGAACGGCCCCATCAGATTTCTTGAGCCATTTTGTCACTTGGAAGAAAATAGTGTACCTTCATATTTATTTAAAGAGTGCTCAAGGCCGTGCCTCATAGCAATAAATAGGTCTAGCCAGGACGATATGGGCTATGCCATTAGCTGGGAGTGCTCTCTATAAGCTGGTTAAGGTACTGATAGGAATGTTTGTTCTTAATATTGGGTGGGGATTGTAACTTTGTTTTTGTACATTTATTTCAAATGAGGAGGAGGTCATTTTTCTAAAAAAAAAATGAGTATTTATTATTGTCTGACTGATTTCTTTTGATTCTATGCCTCTCCTTCTCAGTTCGTTCTCGTTTCTTCTCCTCCTATTGACCTTTGCTTTTGGCCTCTCCCCCTCCTTTTTCATTTTGTTGCATAGGTAGTGTGCTGTATGGCTAGCATTGTATTGTATGTAATTAATTTTGCACAAAGGCAAACATTTAGAATAGTAGGTTAATTTTGTTTGTTTTTATGACCATGCCAAAATAATATTCTGGGCTGGTGGAGAACAAAGGACTGTTCTTTAGGACTGAAACTTGATTTTGCTTCTAGTAAAACAAAAACAAAACAAAAAAACCCCAACAAAAAACACACACACTCACAGATGTTGTTTCATAAGTGTTATAAGCACTGGATATAAATGGTATTTTTTATCACTTCTGACTAATGTGAAACTTGTACGACAACGACATGAACAAAAGTCATCTGTTTCGACTCGTGTGGGCTTGCCTCACAGTTGCCGGATTTGAGTCATTTTTATGTCTTGTTATTTCATTTATTTATGCAAAATACATGTGTGTATGAACACTTTGTTTTAGCTCCAGCTCTGCCTCCGTACTGGGGTTCAGTTACTTCTAGCCGTGCTCTTAAAAATGAAAGGCTATTCAGGAATGATCTGATTGTAAACGTCTCTTTCATTGGGTCAAACAGTGATGCTGTATTTGAATTTAAATTCTGCGCATAAACAGTTTATTCTATTTATTAGCCAAGCTTGGCTCTAAATATCCATGGAAATTAAGAATGACAATCATAGGGATCACTTCATTTTATTTTCAGTGGGGCTTAAACAAAGTTTTTATGATTTTACCATCTCATCTTAGACTTTTCTAATTGTGTAAATATAACATAGAAATAGAATTTATTTTTGGTTCATGAATACTTAGTGAGATATAAGTTATGTATTTCCTTTTTGTTCTCTATCCATATATGTTGGTCCAGACTAGAAGTTGACGAGTCACTGTACCTCCTGGGGATAGTGAGTGACCAGGCACAGTGAGAGAGCCGCGTTCCACCCTGAGGCGGGCCAGAAGACCCTTCTCTTGGGTTCACATGCAGTTTAGAACCCACTGTCCACAGACTCAGACTTGTACTTTTTTTTCTTATAGAAAGTAGATGAATTGAACACACTTAATTTCCAGTACAGCTGGGAGAGAGTCAATTTGCTTTGTGAATCCACATCAATCTTATAAGGTAGTTCTGTGACCATTGAATAGTAGTAAGCATGAATGCAGTTATAAAGGCAAAAATCAGCCTCTGAGACTGGCCATTAATAAAAGTCCTACCATGCCAATTAGATTAGACAATGTTCATCAACTTCTTTTCAGTGTTCCCTGTTTCATAATATCTTCAAATCAAAGATAAAAATTATCTCCATTTTGTTAAAGAACTTACAGGATCAGAATTTGCCTTGTCACTTAGAATAGGGACACTGGCAGACAATCCTCTCCTAAAAAAAGGACCACATGGAATAGGAAGGAAAGAAAGAAAGAAAGGAGGAAAGGAAGAAAGAAGAAAGAGAGGAAGAAAGAAAGAAAGGAAGGGACGAAGAAAAGGAGAGAAAGGAAAGGTCAGTCTGCGCACAGGAGCAGCAGGCAGGCGGCTTCTGTATTTCATTGGCAGATACGATGCTGAATCTTTTCCAGGAAGGTACGAAAGCTGTGTTGTTTCACAGGTATTCTGCTCACCCTTTTAGGAGCACATCAGTTTGCTTCATTTGGGATTTGATACTCCCCAGCCTTGTCCTCAGGCCTGATTGGATTTGCCAGGGTCTTGACACCGACTCCCAGGCCAAGTTCTAAATTCAGGTGTGGGCTCACAGCGCTATTGAGCTTGTCAAATGCTGGCCCTCCGTGAACGTTAGCCCCACTGGAGCCAGGGGTGTTTGAAAAGGGTGTGATCCCTCTAGGGCTGAAATTAAAGGCTTCTTTCTTTTCCTTATGAAGCCAGGCTGCTGCTTTGGAGCCCGCCCTCCCGAGCCAGGAGCACAGGCATAGCTGAAAGCGGGGATTGTTTCGAGGAAGCCCATCTACCCCAGTGGGAAGGCAGCCTGGTCACTGGAACGCCACAGCTGCGGCTGCTTCTCTCAATTTACTCATTTTGCAAAGAGGTGACCCCTACCTACTCGTTAGGGAAAAGAAAAAGAATCAGTAGTTCTAAACCATAGGAGAAGTCCTGTACCAAGTGCCAACAACCGCAAAGAATGCAGCTAGACGAATGTATTGAAATTATTACTGGGTCTTCCTTTTTAATGAGAAAATGACAAAAATGATTGCTGTAGCCTTGCCTGATTTTGTACACTTTTGTCTAAGGACTGAGTTGGCACTTAAGCTCACTTCTCAAAGTATAATAATAATATTGTATGACCTCATTTGTCCTTTTACAGAAGCACTTGCATCATTTCCTTAAGTCGTCTGCCCCCGACATGTTTTCTTCCTGAATAAACAACTTCTATCTGTTATTCCTGCCGACCATGTTCTGTTTCTGATCCATATCTTACTGAGTGTATCCCTCCGCTACTATCATTGCAAATCTTGATATGCAAACACATTTCCCTTTCTTCCTTATCCCAGCTTTTCCTTTGGGGACAGACTGCTTTCCAAAAGCTCGTGAACGAGTATTCAGAATGCTGGTACCTTTGGGGCAGGGCTGGAGGGGGCGGGGCAGGAAGGTAAAGCTCAGTGCAGACACTGCTCACTGGTGTCCGTGGCAATATGGAAGCTTGAAGGCAACTCAGTGACATATCTTGCTCGGTAGTTTCTTATTCCTGAAGAACCACAAGCATAAAATGAGGCGCCAGTGCTGGTGCTCTTGGAGTATGGGGGATGTGCAAATATTTAACTGTTTTGTATGCTGCACATTGCAGGTCTGCTCATGTGCATTCTCCGTTTGTCTTCCTTTGTCATATGTGTTTTTGCTTTTTTTGGAAGTGCAGTCTTTATTGTACCTTCTCCAGCTTGTAGCAATTAGAATGCTTAGCATTTATGTCCATTCATTATTGTATTTGCCATGTAAAATTTTTATTACCTTAGACAAGCTTATAAGCTGTTACTACATAACTTATCTTACTGTAACTCTTTTATTTCCCGACATTGTAATTTGTTTGTGATGTATATTGTGAGATTGTATTCTATGTTAATTTAATCAGCACAATTCACTGACATGCTGGACTGACATGCTGGCTGCTGTTTCAGAGTGTAAAGTGTGTGTAGGGCAGTTGGGACAACTGTAACTCTGTTGTCAAGGTACTGTGCTTGGGTTCCTCTAGCAACACTGCGGGTGTGGCCCTTGAGATGCTAGGGGCATTCACTACGCCCTCAAGCAAATGTTAACTGCAGATTTCCTTTGTAGAAATTCTATGTATAACGCAGGTACCCACTTGGCCCATGGCTGGTAACTATTTGGGCAATTAGAAAAAACAAAAACCATAAAAACTAGTGTCTATTGCTGCTTTGAATATGTTTGAAAGTCTGAAAATGTAAATAGTTTATCAAAAAAAAAATCTTGTACAGTCCAGTGTAAAGTTTTTAAATGACCTTAAGGGGTTGCCATCACATCTTTCTCACACTCTCCTCTCGATGATGGAAAAAAAGTTTGCTAAGGATTAAAGAAATGGGAAAAAAAAAAAACCTCTTCAAATTTAAAGGAATGAATCATTGTTCTTAGCTTTGTTGCATACACAAACTTCTTGGATTTTGTTGTGCAGTATTGACGTGAGATAAAACTCAACATTGCATAATCTTTCAGTGGGACTTTTCAAAGTCTTCCCCTCCTCTGCCTCATAATTAAGGGAAAAGACAAAATTGAAAGACACACTGTCTTTATCTATCCTGGTGTATGTTGGCACCTTAGCTACTTTTTTTTTTTCCTTTTTGCACAAGGTGCTTTCCTGATTTGTTAAACATGCCATCTTTGGGTGATCATGTATATGCCATGACGGGGCCCAGGCCCCTCAGGGGAGTGTCTATGAGAACTGCCTATTTATGCTCATTTACCTCAAGACTGTCCTCTCTACCCTTAATCTAGTCGTCATCACTCCATCTTTTGTACTGCTGTTGACACTTACAAATTAAAGATAAATTTTGTTTTATGACCTCTGTGTACGGCCTTGTCTGTGCCCTGCAAACTCTTCCCAACGGGGAGCCCCGTAAGCCCTGGGCTGGCCCCACTTGCCGCTGGAGCCTGCAGAGCTCTCCCGCTCCCGGCCTTGCTTCTGCCTTGCTGGGAGGTGGGCCTTGGGAAGCCTTCAGACCCCTAAGCCTGGAAGGACCCGCCTGCTTTTCTCATTGTGGAGCACTCGCTGCTGCAGCAGGAAATGCTTGTGCATTTAGATGGTAGGAACAGGATCCAAGGTGGATTTTTGTCAACAGAAGACGAGAAAGAATGTCACTTCCCATTTTCCTGACTTCTTCATGAGAGTGAGACAGTTTATAAAATCTCTTCGCATCCCAGGGTAGGAGCGAATCTCAAGGGCCAGTCTCTCCTCTGACACCAGCTTCTACAAGCCCAGCAGCCAAGAGTGGAAAATGCCGCCCTTCTGGAACCTCTGCCTCCACTGTGATTGGGAGTGGTTAGCTGATTTCTCAGTTGCTTCTGCCTCAGAGAAGGAGCACTCCCATCTCTTTGTCCAGCCATGAGTTGGACCAGGAGCAAAACTCGGCTCCAAATGACATCAGCTTCTGAGAGTCTGAGGGGCGGAGGTGGGGGAGTGGGCTGAGTGAGCCGGGCCCTTAAAGGAGACTTGCCAAACTTGCCAAGCCAGTGCCGTAGATTCCAGAGTTAATGACAAAAAGGGTTCAAGAGAGAGAGTGGAGACCCAGCCACTTCTTTTTTGGTATTTCCTATGAAAATTGCCTCATTAGAGAAAAGCCAAGGATTTGGGGAACTTTGCTTTATCACAGTCAAATTGTAAGTTTGATACAAGATGTTGTAAGTCCTGAAAACCTAGCATTCCGTGACCCTGCCTCCCGCCCCAGCGTTTTTAAAAGCCCAGCTAAGCACGGGGCATTGCCTTGGAGTCACACCGACCTGGGTCTGCCACGTGCCAGGTTTGCGACCTTGCCCAAGTGTTCTCCTCTGTAAAGTGGCATAATAGTCCCTCCCTCTCAGGGCTCCTGGGGGAATTAAAGGAAAGGCCCATGGGGCCTCCAGCAGCAGCCTACACACAGCGCAGATGAAGCCCACCGCCTCTGACCCGTGAAGGACTTGCCTGAGGCCTTCGTCCAGAACCTTCTCAGACGTACGTGGTTACCCAACTTTCCTCCACGCTGGCCTCCAGGCCACAGGGCTTCTCATGTCCAGTCCGCCCTCACCACCGCCTTTGGTCTTTCTAAAACACGGTCTGATCTGATCTGATCTGATCGGTCCTCACTCTCTTATCCTCTCCTAAAATCTTCTAGCTTTCCACAGCTGAATAGATAAAATCCCACCTTCCTGCCCTGACAGTCAAGGTCACAGACTGTCAAGGTCACAGCCTCATTCCCACTGTGCCCTTACCTGCCCTCAGCTTCTCACTGCTTCTCTCACGGCCTGTCCTGTGAGGCCCATCCACGACCCCCGGGCTCGGTCTCCTCCTTTCGCTTGGAATAAATCTGTCCCCTTCTCTGTTTGGGAAAATCCCGCTCCTCTTTCAGATATCAGCCCAGATATCACACCTCATCAGGGCCTCCCCACTCCCCTGGCAGTTTCAGCCTCTCCCTCGGGGCTCCCACGGCAGTTCGAAGGGACCTCTATGACCATTTACCACATTGTAATGATTTATTTCTGTGTCTGTCTTTTCTGCTAGATGACAAGCTACTGAACCCAAGGACTGTGCCTTGGTCCTCCCAGCTCCCAGCACAGTGCTTGGCATACAGTAAGTGCTCAGCCCTTGATTGTGGAATGAATATATGGATGGTGGCAACTCAGCCTCCACGTGAGGCATAGATCGTGTGAGTATCAGGGTCTTAGATGGTGGGATGAGGGAGCCTGTAGGGTACCTTGGTATTAGTTACTTCATTTGGAGAACATTTTTGGTTAAAACATCTCTGTTCATTTTGGGGGAGCCATTTCAAGTCAGCGTGACGGCTTTGCCTGATCAGGCATGGGGGCATTAAGAGGCCCCATGCTTTGGGGAGGATTCATACTGTTGGATGCCCAAGTTTCCAAGCCTAGAGCCACTGCTCTAACCTTCCTCCTAGCATCCTGGCTGGACTATGAAAAGGACAGATCAGAAATAGGAAGCTTTTATGGGTTTGACTGACTCTTTCCTTGGCATCCCAGGGTCCAAGATTACCCTTCTCTCTGCCCAGGGAAGAGAAGTAATGGGAGGTCCAACCCCAGGGCATCCAGCAAGGAAGGAGAAGGAAACTTAGCTGCTCTGTCTGCTGGGGAGAGGAAGGGCAGTGACCCCACGAGGCCGTGTTGTGAGCAGCTGTTCACTTAGTCCCCTCTCCTTTGACAAAAGAAACCCGTGGTCCAGACAATGGTGGCTCTTTCTCTTAAGGGTGCTCTAGATCCGTGCTTTCTCAAAATGTGATCCACGGATCAGCAGCACCAGTATCACCTGAAACATGTTAAAGCACCGTGTGGACCATGTGAATAGCAAGCTCTGGTACACAGGAGACTCCGATAACTGTCATCTACCTCTTTGTAGTCAACAACACCCATGGGATGGAGAGCTTAAGGATATTGGCCTTGTTTGAATTGTGAAGGCCCAGAGACAGGAGACGACCCACCCAGAGTCACACAGAGATTAAATGGCAGTACCAGAACACAAACTTGTGCTTTCTAGTTCTAACAACAGTTGACCATGTTGCATATGGCTCCACAATGGCCTGTGGAGATTGCACACCAATGGTGCAGCTATAGACTAGACCCTGATTGTAGCCAGGTATCCTGGGCTGTATCACTGTGGAAGCATGAGACATGTAGGGACATTGGCTTCTGACAGCTCTGACACTGTCATCCCCTGCTCTGGCTGGGCCTGGTACCTGGCCAATAGGGCGACTCTCTTCAGAGCTTGTTCCACAGATCATTATGTCAATTGGCCATCTAGCAACGTCTATATTTTGGTACCAGGCTGAGTAATCATTGAGTAGATAATGAGGAAAACTGGATTCTGGGACCCCACTCCTAACTCTGGGAGTGGGAGACAGAGTGAGACACCCACTAAAGGGAGAGATCCGGGAAGGTGTCTGAGCTACATGTCACCCTGGTGCCAGGGCTCCTAGGACCACATGTGGATCGTTCATCCACCAGATTTATGGAAAAACCCACCCCCTGGCAGCAGCCCTGACCCAGCCCCCTCTCCCACCAGTCACTAAGGCTGTGAGCGCTGTCTCTGCCACCTGCTCGGATGGCGTATCCAGTCTCCGCTTCTTCTTCCACTTCCACCCTCCCCGCTCCTCACTGCCCCTCAGAAGGATCTTCCTCTCACAGGTTCGTCATGCTGCGAAATACACAAGACAAAGCCTAAACCATCTGCTCTCACGGAGGCCTTCCTCCTGCGCTCAGGCCCTGTCTGCCTTTCTGGTCCACTTCCCATCATGCTCCTGACACAAGCACACTGCCCCTGTTACCTGCACATGCCACACTCTGAAACGTCTCCTCGTGCCTGGAAGTCCCTCTCTCACTTCTCCTGCCACCATCACCTCCATGCTTCAAAGCTCAGCCTAAAAGTCACCTCCTGTGGGAAACCTTCTCTCAATATCCCTCTTTTACCCAGAAAATGTGAATTGCGCTGAAATGATCTGATTGCATTTGTCACGTTGTGAAGAACCTGATTGATTCCTGTGTCACATTCACTTTTTTCTCTAACAGTCCTGGCACATAGTATGTGCGTAATAAATACATGTATTATAAACAAATGAAAAAATGAAGGAATGAACTCTTTCTCCTTGAATTCCAAGTACTCCATACTCTGCCAACCAGCTATTTTTTTTCAGCCTGACTTCCTAACTCCGCATCTTCCAGCTCTCTAGACACATCAGACTATTAATTTGTAATGTGTCCTCCCACCAGTTTGGGCTTTTAGTCAGGTCGCGTCCCACATCCTAACTCTTCTTCTCCTGTGTCTGTCAATCACCATCTTTCCTTTAAGGTCCAACTTGAAGTCCAGCTCCTTCAACAACCACTACAAAATCTTGAGTCTGCTATGTAGCAGAAATTTTACCAGTGTTTCATTTGACCCTTAACAACCTCTCTGAATGTTACGAATGGTTCTCCCTGTTCTACAGGAGAAACTGAAACTCAGAGAAGTCAAGTCACTTGGTCGAGGTCTCCCAGTTAGTTTGAACGTCTTCTGCTGGGACAGGCTGCCTCTCAGATTGCCCCAGCTCAGAATGAGTGTCTCCCTCCCTCTAGTTCAGAGCTTCTCCACCTTTCTTTTCTGTTATGACCACTTAAGGAGCCTTTTTAGACATTTTTTCCCCTAAGAGCTCTCTGCCACCCATGAAATTTAAATACCACAAATATACTATCTGCTTATGTACTCTATCTGTACTTTATTCATAAAAAAAGGATTTTTCACCCCCTAAGAACCAATTTTGCCCCCATGGGGGCACAATCTTGCCCCGCTGAGCGCGTCTGCTCTGGGCCAGGTCTACTTCAAGGTTTGGCTCTTATCACAGAGTTTGTAACTGGTTCCCTGCCACATTGTGAGCTATGTGCTCTGGCTACTGTGGCTTAGTAACAATTTTCCCCAGAATTAGTGATATAAAACAACCTTTTTTATCCTCACAAATTTGAATGGGGCACAGTGGAAGGCTTTTCTGTGCTCCACTATGTCTGAGACCTCTGCTGCGACACTCAAAGACTGGGGCTGGAATAAAGTGGAGGCTCATTGGCTCTCGTCTTTGGCAGTTGACGTCAGCTGTTAGTTGGAGCTGTTGGTTGGGATGCCTGCATGTGCCTTCTTCACGTGCTTGGGCTTCCGCACAGCATGGTGGCTGGGTGTCAGAGGTCAGTAGCCCAAGAGAGAAAGTGAAGACCAGGTTAAGTCCTCTTCTATGGCCTGGCCCCAGAAGTCATGCAGCATCACTTCCCCTGCATTCTATGCATTGGTGCAGTCACAAAGTCATGACAAATTCAAGGGGACAGGAAATCGACTCCACC